GTCCTGTGGCACCTCTGGCCAGGGCTGCGGCAGCTGCCTACTCTTTCTTTCTCACGTTTAATTTTGACTTGCATTGCAAAATACAACCACAGATCTGATGTTACTGGAGTTCCTCTGCCGTTACTGCACCTCCCATACCACATGGTACACTTAYGAATCCATCAATGGGCTGGGCTCAGTGGTACAGCACTTGAACAGCACGTGTGAGGCACTGATTTGAGCCTCAGCACCACATAAAAACAAATAAAAGTGTTGTGTCCACTATAACTAAAAATATTAAAACTTAAAAAAAAGAATCCATCAGTGGCTTGGGATAAAAACGAATCTCCTCATTTAGCTCATTTTGGTCATTAACAAATGGAATACCACACTGACCTCTTTCAGTCTTCAAACTCCCAGGTTACTTCCCACCACAGGGTCTTTGCACATACATTCTCCTTTCTTCTTCCTCTAGGTAACTTCTGCTTGTTCCTGCACTCTCAGTTCAACTGGGACAGCCTTCCCAGACCAGATCCAAGTCCCCTGTCTTAAATTCTCAAAGCACCACACCTTCATAGCTACATTTCATTCATCTCAATATTGGTTTATTATACATCTCTCCCTTAGAATCACCCCATGAAAACAAGGATTGTGTTTAGCTCACAACTATAATTCAAATATTTATCTGGCATATAGCACTCAAATTTAATGCAATTATATTAACTAGTTAATTAGATTCATGATTGAATGAATTTAAAAATCAATTTAGAAGCAGAGATACGTTAAAGGGGACAGGGTCAAGGCAGAAATATTTTAATTATTAGATGTGCAAAGTCAAAGTGTCTCCTGTATAAGTAATCATGTCACTAAAAAATAAAAATTAAAAATATACATATATGGGGGTAGTGGAAAATATATACACACAAAGAAGAGTAGGCTTAAGCAGTGGGGGAAAATACTAAATGTTGATTATGAGCATCTAAGGAATATTCAAATTCAAATGGTCAATAAGTTGTTAATAGTATGCATTCTTGACTAAAGTCTGAATCAAAATACAAATTCGGGTGTATATCAGAATGTACAGAAGAGAAAACCTCAAAATAAGGAGAACTCAGAATGAGATAAAGATGAAATCAAGCTAGAGTCTAAAACAGCATTTAAGAAAAAGGACATTATAAGATTTTWAAAAAAAAAGAGCAAAGAAGAAAATTAAAAGGCAATGTTGTAGAAGTCAAGAATTGGGTTTAAAAAAATCATAGGTAATATTAACTGCCAAAGAGAGGTCAAGCGAGAAAAAAAAATTGTAAATGATCAATGCAGTTGGCAATCAATAATTATCATGACAGACATGACTACAGTTGACTGAGGAGTGAAGAGAGGTGAGGAGCCAGAGAGACACCGAATGTGGACTATGTGCCTGAATGCAAAAGAAACAAAAAACCAGGAAGGGCACAGACTAGGAGTTGCAGGTCAAGGAAATATTTTATTTGCTTATTCTCAAAATGAAAGACTTTGGTGTACTTATGTGTTAAAAGGAAGAGGCCACTGGCTGAAAACATGAGGGAAAATATCTGATAGAACACAGTCTAAATATGAATCCCAAGGGATTTTACCTTAACCAGCTAAAAAAAAGGAACCAAGAATCTTAGAGATGAGAGGTGTTTCTGTATCAGGGCAAGAAACTGTGGATGTATATATGGATAGCTGCAGACGGACAGGTGTTCCAGAGGGGGCAGCTTAAGTTTCATACAAAAAATTTTATCCTGTGGACAACAGAGATACTTAACAATAAGAGACACTTGGAATAACAAAATGACACTTTATTATGTTTTAAGGAAGTGGTGGGGAGGTCACCCCAAAGGTTTGATGTAGCCAATATGAAATGGAAGGGTCTTCTAGAACCACCTGAAWGTATGCTAACTGTTCAGTAGAGGAGTATTCTCCTCGCTGTGCTACTTCTTACTCCAAGTGCACAGGTCCCTGATCCCTCTGACAGCTCTATTCTTGCTTTGTATTATTATGGGCCATTTTATCACAATGATTTTGTTCAATTTTCCTACTCTCCCTGATAATTAAGAGGAAGAACATATCTGGAATTTGTTTTAGCATTTTCTAAACTTTCTTCAAACTTTCCTCCTTAACTGCTAACAGAAAAATAAAATGCTGCCTAACACAAAGGAAGAAACATTATGAGGTAAAAAATTTAAACAAAAAAATTAGTTTCACATAAAATACCAAATTTCAGATCTAAATTCCAAATCAAATTCCTGCCAGGGTTTAATCACAGAATTTAAAGAAAAACAGATAAATATCTTGGTCTTTTTACTAATATGGCCAAAGACCTACTTCAGAATTCACTGCCATGGTTAAAACACTTCTGCATATTACTGATTACATTAAAAAWATATATAAATTTTTCAAAATACTGAGGTATGCAGAAAACTTCCTATTACCAACTTCTCCAAAATTGTACAAGGTGCTGAAAACTCATCAAGATGATCATATAATGCACATAAAAGAAAAAACCACCCAATKTCAGAATGATTAAATGAGACACTCCTGGAGAAATTATCTTAGTCAAATGTAGAATCAAAAAAAATTAAAATAAACCTACTAGAAGATGACACTGGATTTTGCAAAACTATCTTGTAATAGACCTTCACTAAACTAAAAAGTTGTAGGTTGACTCAAGTCAGTTAAATAATTTTATTATACCATCATTAAACTGAGCACAAACACTGTAGATTATGTCTCCCCACTTAGTGCTGAGATGTTCAAAAACAAAGGTTTCCATCCCAACTATTTACCTTTAACTACAAGAGTGACATTAAAAATCAGCTGGCACCAAATGTCAACTATTTCACCCTTCTCTTTCTTCCCCCTCCATCCTCCCCATCCCCCCACCTTTAAACAGAAGCACAGACTCCTGGACTTTCAAGGATGGGCTTGGCATTCTCCCTTCAGTGCTTACTCAACCACTCCCTTGCCCACCTTCCCCAGCAGCTGAAAAGAATCTTCCTTGAAGACCTCTTTAACCAGGGAAATAGGGCTGGGTTGCTCCGACATGCTTGAGAATGCCTGTCATCTGTCTCTCTTCTGTCCACCGCACCAGTCTTGGAGTTCTTTATAACTCAGAATGGTCACACAGAACAACTTCTTATGGAGTCCTAGCTATGATTTTCAATACCCAAAGAGAATGACACATAGGGATAAGACCATGTAATGTTTTATGTTTTTTTYCTTAAACTTACCTCACCCCTGAAAGTTACCGTGCAGGGTGGGTTTGGGTGACTTTTTAAACTTGCTTCTGCACTACTTACTCCCTATGACAACATTACAACTTCGCTAGAGAATCCTTGAAACTGTAGTAGGCATTTCCTGGCCTAAAACTAGCTTTAGATTTAGAGGCTTCTGAGAGATTCCTAATGACCACACATTCATGGCTACTGGTCGGAAAAAGTTCCTCTGTAAACGAAGCCTGTCAAAAGGTAAAAGCAAACTACACTCGAAAAACACATCATAGAGGTTCACATTAAATTTTTTATGCTTAAGGTAAGGGCTGCTTTAATGAAAGTCATCTCATGACCTTTCAGATCTCTGCCCCAGATAAAACCACGCAAAATCACTCAACGAACACAAATCTGCTGCAACTAAGTGCACTCACCGCACCTCGGAATATTGAGCCGAGTTAAAACTAAACCCTCGGCTCACAAACRGTTCGCTGGCTCCCACTCAGAGCCCGCAACGTGAATGTCATACTGAGAACGCCAGAACCTAAGTTCGTTATTTAATTTCTAAAACTACTTAAAAATGTTCCTGTGTTAATAACCCAGTTATAATTACTTCGACGCAATCCAGTGGCAATTGATTTTCCGTGTACCCCTGGAAATGCTTGGCACCTCGCAAAACCCATCTCCGCCTTGTTCCCGAGCCGAACCCTCCGCTGCCTTCCCAGCCAGCGTCGCCCGCAGCCGGCCAGGGCTCGCTAACTGCCCTCGGGCTCCACTAGCGCCCTCGACACGTGAGGAACAAAGCCGCTCCCCGGCGTCCCCCAAGTCCCCTCCACCGCGCGGCGCGAGCGGCCCGGATTCCACGAAGGTCACGGGCACTCCGCTCCCTCCCCGCGGGGCGGCGCGGCTAGCGACACCTCGTCGCGCTCCGGGAGAGCGGCTCCTGACCCGGCGCCGGGGCCGGGCGGGGGCGAGCGCCGGCCCCACGCCCTCCGCACAGCGCCGCCCCACCCCGCCGCCGCGGCCCGCACGGCCCGCACTGCACCGCCCTCCGCCCGCCCGCCCGGCGCTCGCGCCCGCCGCCCACGCCCGGCCGCCGCCGCCTCGGCCCGGGACGCGCGGCAAGATGGCGGCTGCGCCTCCGCCCGCTCCGCCGCGCCTGGCCGGGCCTCGCCGTGCCGCGCGGGGCCACAGGAGGGAGGGCCGCGGGAAGGGCGCGGCCGCGGCCAAGGCGGGCCAGCACCGCGGAGGGGGAGGCGGGCGCGGCGCGGCCCGCAAGGCCGCCCAGGCCCGCCGCCGCCCGTCGGCCCGCGGTCCGCCGCCCACCTTTGAATTTGAGGTCTGTGGGCGGGTCGAGGACCAGGATCTGCTCGTGCTTCGCCATGGACCCGGAGGCGGACGCCATCGGAGGCAGCGCAGAGCGGGGGCGCGCCCGCGGCGGCGGTGTGCTGCTGGGCGGGACGACGGCGCCGCTCGGCCGCGCTAGGACGGGGCCAGCTCCGGGCGCCTGGGCCTCGACGCCTGTCGCCTTGTCGCGGCTCCGGTGGCCGGCGCTAGGTCCGCAGCTCCGGTCTCACAACTGACTCAACCCCACACCAGCCGCCGCGGCCACGCGCACTGCGATCCTCGGCGCCCCACGTGACAGCCCCAGCGTGCCTACGTGCGCGTCCTGGCGGCGGCGCGCCCCGCCCCCGAGCCCGCCCGGTGCTGCGCGGCCCGGGCTGCTGCGCCTGCGCACTCCCGCCTGCCGCTCCCGGCGCCCGCTGTCAAGGGAACGGGCGTGACAGGGGGCGGGGCGGGGCTCAGAGGGCCGCCGCGGGGCGCCGCGCACGGCAAAGGCACGGTCCTCCGTCACGTCGAGCTTGGAGTTTGAACCTAGAGGACCTGCGATGGTGGCACGTGACTCTGCCAGTGGGAACGCCTGACGCAGGAGAACGTGGTCGGGCAGCGCCGCGCACTACGACTCCCAGCATGCCCCGCGTGGGCGGGCCTCAGCGCGCCGGCGCTGTCCAGTCCCGCGGGGGCCGACGGGAGGTGCGGTGGCCAGGGTGGGGAAGGAACCGGGCCGCCGGGAGATGTGTCTGCCCGGGCCGCTGGGGAGTGGAGTTCGCCGACGCCCGCTGTGGCCCATGGCAGCGTTGGGTCTGCGCCGTGAGGGAAGTGTGTGCAGACTCGCCGCGGCCTCCTCGGCGTGTGGCCCAGTCCCGCKCTCAGCCCGGCGCACCTCCGGGTCGGGTCCCCTTGGTCCCCGCGGCCGCAGCACCTCGCGCTAGGAGCGGACGTGCGCTGGGGGACCGACCGGCCCGCTAGGGTGGGAGGAAACCACTTCTCTGGCTGTGACCCGTGGTGGAGGGAACCTAGACGGCCGCCACGTCCACGTGCTGCAAAGAACCCGTCTGCGTCACGGGGTCGCTGCAGCACGCGGGGCCCGGAGAGGAAATCCCGCAGCAAAGCCGGTGGCCGGGCACTCGGGGACAGACAGGTGGAAGAAAGGGACGTGCTGGGGGGGAGCGTCGCTGTGCTTTCCACTCCGCGTGGACTTAAATTCAGGAGCCACCAGGATAGAAGGACGTGTTGAGGCCACTCCCGTGCAGGGGCAGCCCAGACTCTGGAAGCCCCGTGGACGGAACTGGCACCCAGGTGGCCGAGCCCAGCGCCCGGAACCCTCCTGCCATCGGCTGGCGCTCMCAGAGGACTGCCCGCCCAGTGTGGGCTTCGGCCGCGGAAGCCCCGGAGGGGCGCTTAAGCAGTTCGAAAAACGTGCCAAATTCGCCTCTATGTCAGATTATTCACAAGATTTACTTTGAAATCCTACACTTATTAAAGGGAGGCTTGTGATTTGTTTCCTAAGGTGCCAGTTGACTGTCAGCCCAAGGAAGATTTCCCACGTATTTAGCTGTGCACCGGCCACCCCGACAGTCCTCACCAACTCCCACTTTGCCGGCCTGAGAACCTTCCCACGGGCAGGCTAGCCCGGGTAAGACCGGCCCTCCACCGCTGAATACACCCCTCTTACCAGGAAGCTTTTTGGAATCCTGGGCACAAACTGCCAATTAGCAGGACAGCATAGGAGGATGTCCGGTCACACCCTTGTGGGACCAGTTCACCACGGGGTTTAATAGGAATCCTGAATTGGATGGGTTCCAGTTTGCAGGCTACATCTCTGCTCATTGAAGTCATTTACCATTGGATTCAACTTTTTCTCTTCTCATTATTGCTCCAAAGATCATGTAGGTATAGTCTCAAGGTCTATAAGAATTTACGTAACTCATATTCTAAGAGTTACATGAAACATCTTGGAATTAACCCCCATTACTATTTTAGGGCTTTGCAGGAATAATGAATCAGGAGTCCTCCTGAATTATCTACCTCTCACCAAATAGTGCACTGTGTAAGTGGTTTGTGCTTTGGCAATATTAATACCTTTCTTCTAGAAGCGCAAAGAACTTTACAAACACCATCACACAGCACTCAGAACGACTTTATAACTTTTGTCAAATACGGAAATGAAAATTCTGTTACTAACAGAACTAAACTGTAGGGGAAAGTTGTTCAATGTTACATTCTGTTCATTTTTGTTGTTCCCAAAGCCACCATAAAATGACACCCCAATGATCAAGGCAATAGTTTTAAATGTGATTGACATCTATTGTTTAACATGTGACAGGGAGCTAATGTTCATTCTCTTTGCTCTTTTCAGATTGATTAATGCAACACAGGTCTCAAAATATATTCATATATACACACACACACACACACACATATATACACATATACATATCATTGAAGTATATATACATAGACATATTTATATGCTTTTGAGCTTATTTCTCTAGCTAATTTTCATGAGACTAAAAGGTATGAAATCCTTGATTTATTTCAAATTATTCAAGTCACTAACAGTATTCACTTTTGGATAGATTATCTTTTATGGGTTTGGSTACATTTTAAGAAAAAATTTCTAGTATAGTGGTATCAGTGTATACCCATCTTCTTCCCTATAATTAAACAAGTTTTACCATAGAAGTGCTCTGTAATTATGAATTTATGAACAATTCTCTGAGTAATTCCTTTCAAGGTACGTATTTCCAACAAATATTAAGGCAGTTGCAAAGTATGTTGGTAAAAGTAACTTGGGACTGAACCACTGAGTCCAAGTCCTACTTCCCCTGTGTGATCTTGGCAGCTTGCTTTACCTCTCTGTACCTGTTTCACGTTGTAAAATGAGGATAATCACAATGCCTACATCCTAGGTTTACAAGGATTAAATGAGTCACCACACATGAAGGACTTGGGGTATGCCTGGTCCAGCACTGTTACCTTATTATTGTGTTGAATCTTAAATTTTTGCTGTGTACTTGGCACCTGGAAGCTTCTGGTGACTAGTGATAAGACAGGGTTCCTTCCCTTAAATGCCTATGTTCAAGGCTGAAAAAATGGAATACCAACCCCACAGTTATTTTATTTGAATTGTGAACATTAGGAACGGAAGTCTAGGGTGGCAAGAAAATGTTCAGGGGAAAATGAGCAGAGGTTTAGAGACATCACCTTTGGAAAGTGACAGGAAATGTGTTCTGAAGGATTCGTGGACATCCCAGGCAAAGGAACCTGTATGAGGACCGCACTGGACCTAGGAAGGCTTGTTTTGAGTCACTGAACAAAGTCCTGTGGGCCCTGGGAATAAGGTGAGGAAGGAATACCAGGAGTTAAGGCTGAAAAGTCTAGCTCAGCAGAGGATCGGAAGCCATATTAAGAATTTGTGTCTTTATCATTAGAAAATAGGAAACTGTGGTAGGGTTTACACAATGGAATAATATGAGCAATCTTTGAAAGGTCTCTTGGCTACCATGTGGAGATCAGATTAGCGTAAGATAGCTGTTGGCATCGCTGCTGTAGTTTAGAAGAGGACAGTGTTGGAGAAATTGGTGGCTGGCACTAAGGCAGATACAGTGGAGATGGATAAACATTTGGGTGGATTTGGGAGATCTTTCAATGGTGGAATCAATGACCAATCAGTTATTGATTAGATATAGGGGGGGAAGGGAAAGTGAGACAGTAGGGCTCTCTTCCCTTCCTCTGGCTTGTGCAAGTGGGCAGATGATGGCATCATCCACAGGACAAGATTCTGATATTGGATGCAGCAGAGGGAAGATGGGGAGGCTAACTAGATGTAAGCTAACAACATTCATGAGAAATGTTGCATAAGTGACTGGATGTTCTGGCTAGAGTTCAGAGCAAAGAGCTCTGGGCTGAAAACTAAAACTTCATGCTTGGCACTTGATGTCCTGGGTCATAGTGTGGATGAATTCCATCATGTAAGACAGAAATGAAGAGACTTTTCAACTGCAACTATTGTATATTGCATTAACTCCCAGCAGCTCAAGAGGCAGAGGCAGGAGAATCACAGGCTCAAAGCCAGCCTCGGCACCTCAGCAAGGACCTCAGAAGCTCAGCAAGATCCTGTCTCTAAATAAAATATAAAAAGGGCTAGGGACATGACACCCCTGGTTCAATTACCATATGTATCTATATATCTCTCATTAAGTAGAATAAGTCAGCCCTTTCAGCTTCCTCTGGGGATGCCTCCTGTATTGCAGAGGTCAACTGCTTTGTATCTGGATCTTGTTCATGAAATAGGTCCAACAATGAGATACACTTGTGTGAGATTTGGAATTAGAATGCTYTGGAGGCCATTGTTCTATCCCTCCCAGCAATTTTCCTGCACAGAGACATGAGGTTTTTCTTAGCAACATTCCAGTGCTCACTTACCAGCTTCCTGGATACCAAGAGCAATTAACTGGTGCAGGTTCAACAGAAGCTGTAACACCAGAAGCAAACAGTGGCCCCAGTGTCCTGACTTCTGGATCAAAGGTACGGGTGTGTCTTCAAGTCACCAGTTCCAGGGCAGCCTCCTTGGATGGGAGCCCTGGTGAGACTGTTCGGTCTTGTCCTGAGAACCATTCCTGGGGAACCCACTCTGGGTCCTGTCCCTCCAGGCCTCCCAACAATTTTGTGAGCACTTGTCACTCATCCTGCTTGTCATATCTGGATGGTCAAGAGAGCGAGTTGTCAAGAGGCCAGGAGAAGACTAGGAGGGAGCTCACCAGAGCAGAAACCTGCCCACTTGTCCCATAAGGCCACACCTGGAAAACACACACCTGCAGAGTGGGTGTCAAATGAATGAACACAGTACACACCTGCAGCAGACCCACACAACACTGATAAGGAGCCAGAATGTGCACAAGGCCAGCAAGAGTCACCGTGATGCTGTGCCCCAGAGTTACATAGGCTTATTGCAGCATATTGTCAGGCGTCTACAAGAAACAAAGTTCCCTAGAGAAGGCTGACGGAAGTGTCACCCTGTAAAACCAAAGCTGGAAGACACTTGTCCTGAGGAGTTGACCTTGAATGTGCAGGTGAAGTTAAATAAGATCAGCCATCTTTATTGGTAAAAAAGTCATTTGAAGAACATGTGTTCCCCTGTTAACCTTTTCTACTGTGGAAGCAGTGTGTGCTTATTGTGACAATGATACACCCAAAGGCATAAACACAACTTCCTCCTACATCTGCCAGTTCCCACGCCCCCTGAGGTAGCCAGTGTTAACTACCGGGGGATGTGTCACACCCCAGCCTTATCCACACCTGTAAAAATATAGCTTATTGCTGTTGCCACCATTGTCTACACATGCAGTTCTAGCTCGTGTGATGGGAGTGCCTTGTTCACCTGATGGTGCATTAGACTATCTGACCAGGTCAGCTGGTATAGATACAGCTTAGTCTTTTAATAGCACAGTCTGTAGAACAGATTGCCTTACCGTGGAGTCATTTGTTTCCATTGATAAATGTGTAAATTGATGTACACATTTATTACCACAGAGAGAGCTGAGTAAAGATACTTATAATGTATCTTAGCCTAGGATGCTTCAATTTCCAGGAAAGGTCCCAATAGAACCGCAGGATCAGGGACCGTTCTGTTTCACTAGACTACAYCCTTGTTTACCTAAAAGGATGTACCATCACACCAACAGGAAAGTGCCAGGGTCCAGCACCCATCCGCACCAAGCGCCWGCTCTCACTCCTCCTAAATACCTAGGAGCATTATAGATGTCCTTGAGTGGTTTAGGCCTGTAGTCCTGCCCTCTGAAAATGTAGGCATCTGCCCATGTCCACTGAATGCACCCTGCTCCTTCCATTGCCATTCTATAAATTGCAAAGATTAAGCATCCAGAGACTCTGCTGCTGACATGACCATTGTTCTTAAAGGCAACTCAACCAGAAGATGCCTGTGAACACTACGTCCTCATTTGGCACCTCGCCTTGSGTCTTCCAGTTTCTGCCTAGGTTTCTTTGCACTGCCGCAAGTACACCTAGAGTAGATGTGCACTGTGCCTCAGCAGAGGGTCATCCTAGCCCATCACTTTTCCCCTGTCATGGTGCAGTTACTCTAAGGTAATGGATGGAAAGGCAACAGTGTAGACTATATCTTGTATTGTAAATGATACAATATGTTTGGAATGCTTAGGGCAGTGCTTCCCATGTAGTAGGCTTTTTTTTTTTTTTTTTTTTTTTTTTTTGTACTGGGAATTGATTCCAGGAATACTTCACCTCTGAGCCACATCCAAAACCCTTTTTATTTTTTATTTTGAGACAGGGTCTCTCTCCAAGTTGCTTAGAGGCCTAGATTCCTAAGGCTGGCTTTGCGCTTGGGGTCCTCCTGCCTCAGCCTCCCAAGCTGCTGGGATTACAGGGGTGCATCACCATGCTAAACTAGTTAGTTTTTAATAAATGATTGATCTGTGTTTCACAAAATTTAATTTCTATTTGAAAGATAATTTGTTAGACAATCCCTTAACTAGACATTGGTAAAAATAATTGGTTTCTTCATGTCTTTTGAAATATAATTTGCTAATCATTTAAATCCACAATCAAATTATGTCTCCTTAATAAAATGCTTCTTAAACGGAAGACAATTTTCCAGTGTTTTCTGAAAATAATGAGGATTTCTTTTAAATACTACTTATTCAAAGTGGGGTCAATGATCTGTTTGAGACCAGCCTCTGGTGCAGACTTGGAGAGACACAAAGACTGATACCTAGTTTCAGTCCTGAAGAAGTTGATCTAAATAAACTTGAATAAGCATAAGCCAGTGTGTGAACTATTCTTAGAGCAGGAAGTTAAAAGAATTGTGGAAGAATAAAGACAGCAGTGATTAGCTTAGGAGAGTTGGAAAGACCACAAATATCTGACCATTTCAGGATCTTTTATATTTGTATACACACAGCTACACTCATACTCAGACACATAACCTTTTYTAAGATTTCCTACAAACCCATTTAACTTCTTTTCCTAGAGATTTTTGTTGTTAAGAACAGAACCATTTGTTCTTAGCAGAGTTATTCACTATATCATGGAAACAATCCCAGTGCTCATCCTCAGATGAATACACAGACAAGACTGGATCCATGCACATAGCAGAACAGTATGCAGCCTTAAAGAGGAAGGAAATGCTCTTTTGCAGCAGGGATGGACCTTGAGTACTATGCTGAGCAAAGTGAGGTAGCTGCAACAGGACAATTGTGAGTCCACTCGCGAGGCGGCTGGGGTGTACCACTCACAGCACCGCAAGGGGAGGGCAGGCGGAGAGGGGGCCTGCGATTAACAGGTGCAGAGTTCGGCTTCATGGGATGAAGARAGTTCGGGAGCCTGGCTGCACAGCATTGTGATCATACTCAACACAGGTGAAGCACACTCGTAAAAATGGTCAAGGTGATCAGTGGGGCACTATGTATATTGTACAATAAAAGGACACAACGCTTTTTCATTTAGGGCAGATGGTTAATCATTCAAGGCTGTAAGAAGGCCCTTGGTCTCTCTTTCTCATTCGAAGCTCTTCTTACCTCACTTGTCTTGAGCAACAGCCTAGGGATCAGGAGCCCAGGGCTCATTCAGACCTGGGTTCAACCCTGTCATTAAAATGGGGTCAATAAAACTCTTGCCCTGCCAGGTTGTTGTGGAAGTTACATGAGATAATACTTCTAAATACCTGAGCACTGTAGTTGGCACGTGTAAGTGCTCCCCAAATATTGGTGYGAATGACTTTATCATTGCTGGGGCGGACGTGTGCCTATTTTTGTTTCCCTTTAGAGAATACCCAAGACTGGTTAATTTATAAAGAAAGGGGGTTAACTGGGCTCATGAGAATTGGGCTCTGGAGAATGAGAAGTCCAAGACCAGGCAGCCAGAATGGTAAGGGCCGGACTCAGCTGTGGTGCAGAGCAGAAGGTGAAGTGGGCCCCTGCGGAGGAGAGCAGAGGGCGCAGCTACTCCCAGAGAAAGTGGCCGCCCACCTGGCACCTCCCCAGACCCTCTCCCCACAGGTCTCTCTCACCCCTCCCAGAGCTGCCACAGTGAGGGATTCAGGTCCCAACATGTGGACTTTGGGGGACACAGCAAGAGGGCAAGTTGCTGGGGATAACGAGGATCCTACATTTATCTGGAGAAAGTGGTGCTTCATGGATTCTCGCCAAGAGGCATTTCCAAGGGGTCTCCTTTAGACTCTGTTGAATGGACACCAGAGCTGTCATGTAGATCTGTAGATCTCCACTACCATTTCTTTAGTACATTAAGTGAATTCTTAGTTGTTAGGTTGAAAACAGGAATGTGAATCCATTGGGGGATTCTTTTTGTTTTACAGATGAATACACATGCCCAGCCCTAACCCAGTGGTTTGGATCTAGGGGCAGATGAAAGTGTGACCCTTGAATAGGAAGGCTCTGCCCAGGCCCCCCCCCCCGCCCTGCCAGGCAGGAGGCCAGCTGTCCAGTCTGAACTACAGAGGTGAACAGCAGGGAAGCCTGGTTCCCTGAGTGTGTCCYACCCCCCCACCCCCAGTGATGGCACACTGAGGGGCAAAGGCTGGGCCCTGTGGTGCTCTCAGCATTCCCAGGTGCACACTTCATGCCTGGCCTTCAGTGATGGACGCTGGAAGAGATCCCACAGGCCTCCTCCTCCGSCTGAGGCCTTTCTCTGGAATTGGAAACGCTAGGCAGATTTTGCGTGTGACTCACCAGGCTGTCCATCCTCTCAGAGGTAAGGAGAGTCTGGAACCCTTGGGACACTCGCACTGCATTCTTCAGATTCTCTTTCTCTCCTCTCGGCTCCCTTTAAGTGACTGGCTTGTGGATGCCACACCATTCCAGCAGAGAGGAGAGACAAGGCAGGCCTCGGCCACCCTCCTAGAATGACAGCACTGGGTCCCCACCACTGCACTCCCTTCCACCGTGTGTTCCACGCTCTCAACTGTTTGCACTGCCCCACGGAGAAGAGCCAGTGTGTTGCATGTTTCAGACAGACAGACAGACCCACCAGGACTGCCCCMAGCTCAGTTTCCCCATCAGGGGAGAGAGGCAGACACATTTGGACAAGTGAATTGAGCACATGGACTAACTAGGGTTATTCCTGTTTTAATCGGGTCAGTAATTCGTAGAATCACAGGTTAAGCTGTAGGAATGAAGTCAGAACTCAGATCCAAGTCACGGGCTGAAATGCTAAGAATCAGTCTTTAAGTTTCTGTAGTCACTTGTAAAGTACTATTTGGATCATGTGTGGCTTATCTCACATCATCTTGTCAACACGATTCCAGTTCAGAGGAAGCAGATGAAGCTGCAATTAGATTATGCCCTGCCAAGAAGATTTAGTAGCTGTGGAATTTTGGAAATTAATATATAAATTCCAAAGCTGTTTGGCAATGTAGTCAACATATCTATCTATACATTGCCTTTTTTGAGAAATCTTTGAGCTAGAAACCGAGTGCCCCTATAAACCCCCAGCTGGAATAACCCAATCTGTAAAGGATAATATTCTCACTTCCTGTGTTAGGAATGGTCAGTGATAGGCCAAGACAATGACTTTATGTGAACCCAGGGCAGCAGGGACCTCACACACGGCCAGACCCCAGCATTTAGAACAAGCCTGGGGTGAGGGAGGTGCTCAAAATATATTCATTGTTTTTAAAAAAAAAGGGGGGGGGGAGAGCTCTTCCAGGTCCTTCCTCCAGCTGTTGCTGAAGGTGATCTTACGCAACCACAGAGCAGCTCTCAAACAGGCAATACTACTGATTCGGTGTTATCCGGGAGCCTGTATCTGCATTAGAACATCTCAGTTTTTCTGCTGATGTGCTTTGACTCCTCCAGGATACAACTCGGGCAYGGAGCTGTCCTCTCCTTCATCTGCTCTGCTCTGTGAGGGCGACTTCGACGTTTTTGTCTTCCCCAGCCTGGGTTGTTTTGTGGATTCCYGGGAGTTATTCTGCACGAGGTTGCACACTCAGGGTCTGTCAGGGCTGTCTTCTTATTCAGTGGCGTTTTGGTAAGGATGTGGTGACATGGGGCTCCTCAGGGTGTCCTGTGAGATGGCACCTGCTGCCAACTTACTACTGGTGGTGACTTGACCACGTGGTGAAGGTGGTGGCTGCCAGTTCTCCCCACTGTGTTGCTGTTTTCCCCTTGGGCATAAACGTCCTGTGGCAAGACAGGCCCAGACGGTGCAGATACGCTGTTTCTAGTCAGCACTAACTGTAGCGTCCATCAGTGGTTCTTGTCCGTCACGATTATCCCGGGGGTTTGCCCAGCAGTGGTTTTCTATTTCCATCATTCCTTCTGCACTTGTTAATTGGGACCCACTCTCCTTCCTCCCTCATTTCTGTTTTTATTTGCTTATTTGTTCATTGAAGTATGGACTCAGGGCTGCTTATGATGGTGCTCGGCTCCTCCCTCTGTGGCTACGGAAGGCCTCAGGTGGCTCCGGGCTCCCAGTGTGCCCACCACTCTCTTACACACACACATTTACCTCAGGTGCCACAAGACACTCCAGGATCATCCTGTTGTTTCCACATCCTGTAGGCCCTGCTTCCTTTTTTCAGATAAGAGTATTTAAAAACCGAAATCTGGCCAGTGGGTGTGCTTATTGCCACTGGTATGGCTTTGCCTCTTTGGGTGGAAAAAGTGTGGAYATAACATAGTAAACACTCCTGCACACCCTGTCCAGCTGTCTACACGGCGGAAACCAGGAGCTCGTGCTGAGGCCTTTCACTGAACACCACACAGTTCATCCTAGCACCCCCCCTTCCTTTCTGTACCTCCTCTTTCCAGTAAAGACCCTTGGGTCACTCTCAGTAATGTCCCTATTTGCTCGGTCATCACATGCACCCAGGCCATTGAGGGCTGCTGACCCACACTCTGTTTGTATTTCACTTTACAGCAGACAATGGAACACACCGTCCCACCATCACTTTGGTTAGAGCTTCTCTTCGTTCCTAATACAGCTCATTCCAGTGGCTGCTTTGGGAACTTGGCGATGCCCCCTCCCCTGTTCTATCTGCTTTGGGGTGGGTGAAGTGTCAGCTGGGCTAAGAGCATCAGCCAGCTCTAAGCATTAGTATAGGTAGCACTTCCCCTGGGGGGACATGCCTCCCGTCCCCACTACCTATTCTCACTGGTACCTTTGTCTCCTGTTCGACCCAATACCTGTACGTGTTCAGTCTCACTCGTCTCTAGTTTAGTCTTACATTTCTTGTCACAAATGAGCAGATCACGTGAGCTTTCTTATATTACCCTCGTTTTTCTTGAAGGGTAGAATTTTATACTTTCTTCACCTTGCTTTGTTTCACTAAACATATCTTGGAAATCACTCCATACCCATTCATGGGGTGCTTCCTCATTCTTTTTTGGAACTGTATAGTACTCCGTGGTGTGGATGCTATTCAACTGCTTCCCTGTGTATTGACATTTAGGTTGTTTCCAATTTTACAATAACAGTCAATGAACAGGTTGTCCAAACCCCGGATCACCCACACGGTTACCCACTGTCCTGCCCCGCAACTCACACCCCTGGTCACATRGAGGGTTCTGTATGGCTGGCTGGAAGAGGGGGAAAGAGCACGGTTTGGTTGACAGGAGGGTTCACTCAGTACACAGATGCAAGATGAAAACACTCTTGTCTTCTAGTCCCTAGGTCCCCTGCAAGGCTCCCTGTTGAGCAATGAATAACCAGGTGCCTGTGTGTTTTCATTCTGTTGGAGGCGTGTCTRCAGGGCAGGTTCCCAGAGGGGCGACTGACAGGTGAGTGGCTGTGCAGATTCAGGTACTCATGAATTCCCTTCCTTTATGCTGTGTGTTTCCAAGTCTGCCCTTCAGAACAAGTCCACCTACTATGCTTCGCCCAAGGGTAGAAAAGTTCACCAGGCCTTAGAGCAGAATGGTAAATGAATATTCCCCCCATTCCACATGAACACACAGGATTTCTCTTTGGAATAGAACAGGGGGCAACATGAAGTTCAAAAAGCAGCCACTGGACTGAGCTGTATTACGAAACACAAGCACCCCGTCCTTCTGCCTGAGCCTTAATAATTTGCTGCAGCAGGTTGTGATACTGCTGTTTGGTAGCTGCAATGGCACTGCCACTTGGTAAGTGTGTGCTACTCCAGCACCAGGACCTGCAAGCAGTGGGGACGGGACACCCCCAGACCCTCTGGGAGGTGCTAGTCTTAGTGGTGCTGTAGTGCTTGGGTGCACTGTTTTGGCCCAGGGGTGGGAGCGGTTTCAGAGGCTCCTACTCAGCCTTCCTCACTACAGTGGCTCTGAGGCTGAGTTCCTCAGGTCCAAGAGCATGACCGCTGGGTGGCCACGGAGGACCCACGGCAAGCAGGAAAGCACATGACTGGCCAGGTCTCTAAGGTGGTGCAGTGAGGCATGCAGATGGCATGTCAGAATGGCAGGTGTCAATGCCAACTGAGTCCCTCTGCCAACAGCCCTTGAAAAGTCTGGGCATTCCCTGTGTTTATTATTATTTTATTAATATTATTTTGTTATTTAGGATTTATCAGCCACATTGCTTTTGGACCTCCCTCTGGGGACTTGGCCATCTCTCAGTTAAGAGCTTGGAATGTGAAGACTGGTCCTGGCCAGAATGGAGCAAGGAACGTGGCTTTTCATTGGCTCACCAAACCTCGGCCTCCTGCTTCTCTGAACACTCTCTGTTTCATAGACCCAGGGCCAGCTCCAGGTCATCTCTCACAGTAACTGCCCGCTGCCCAAATGCCACCTTGCAATCTCTTCTATTTCTTAGGTTTTGGCTTAACACCTCTGTGACCCTAAAAGACATGGGAATTTCTCCACCAGCAAGCAAGTCAGTAGACACCAGCTGGTGACAGCGTCAGACCCCACAGGTGGAGAGCTCAGTCCCTAGAACTGCCCCTACCAGGTGCCCAATCAGGCTGCCTTGCCCTGCTTCTGACAGACCAGCTGTCCATCAGGGTTCCGTGACCCCCTCTTGGGTGCAGTTATTTGCTTGGGCAGCTCACAGAATTCAGGGAGGCACTGGATAAAGGACATTGCAAAGGATAGCAATGAGGCACTGCACAGGGTGAGGTGGGGAGAAGGGCACAGGGCTCCCACGCCCTCTCCAGGTGTACCGCCCTCCGGAAACTTCCATGGTCAACTCTCTGGATGTGCTCTGAATCCTCTCCTTGGGGGTTTATGGAGACCTCACTGCACGGGCGTGGCCGGCCTGGGAAGATTCCTCACTACCCCTTCCTGGGAAGATTCCTCACTACCCCTTCCTGGGTATGGGGTGAGAAGCCCTGGAGAGAGGAGGTCTTATGGCCTTCTATCTGAGCTCCAGGGGCCAGCCTGGGGGCAGTTACAAGCCAAGAACCAAGAGACACATACATATGTATAAACTTTACCTGAAAGCCAAGCAACCATTTCCTGGAAGAGAGGGAGCAAGTGTGCTCCAAGGTGGCACTCGRGTGCTGAGTCTGGGGAGGAGCAGACCTAGTCACAGCGACACCAGGATAACCCGGCCCTGCACATACCTAGCCCCACTCACCATGGTTGTCCCAGGACTCCTCCACTGCCCATGCCTCTCCCCTTCAACTCAACCCACCCTCTTCTCTCCATGCCCAGAACCARTTGGACTTTTATACCCACTAATTGGCCCATCAATTTCAGCAACTTCTGTAGCCACCTCCTGGTTTCCTGTCCTGTGTCTCCTTCCTTTTCTTTTTTTTTTTTTAATTTGATTTTATTTTTTGGTACAGGAGATTGAACCCAGGGGCACTTAACCACTGAACCACATCCCCACCCTTTTTTATCTTTTATTTAGAGAYAGGGTCTTGCTGAGCTGCTAAGAGCCTTGCTAAGTGCTGAGGCTGGCTTTGAACTCGCGATCCTCCTGCCTCAGCCTCTCCAGCCACTGGGATGACAGGTGTGGGCCACCACTCCTTCTTGCTGCCTCTCTCTCAGCACAACAGGCTTCCTCTGTTGGCTACCTCAGGAGAGACCGCTACTCAAAGACCTCCCATTCCCCCAGCCCCTTGGCTCAACTTTGGACTGAGAAACTAATGTGACTCCATTTTAAAAAATAAATAACAGCAGCTTCTACCTCAAGGCCTGTCCTAAGGAAGGGGGAGTGACCCTTATTCTTGAAAAAACCCACAGAGCACTCCTAAGCACATACCCACCCTGCTGAGTTGTTTGTCTGTAAATAACAGGAGAGGTCTGAGGCRCCAGGTGTCCCTGACTCAGTTAGGCTAGGTGAGGACCCATAGCAACCCCCCTAGCAATCTCCAATCAGCATGAGACAGGGAAAATACCTGGGATGCCAGATGACCCCCAAGTAGTTTATGGTGGTTGATAACATGTTGGGAAACCATGTAGTTTAGCACGTACACCCCTCGTGGCCTAAACCAATCAGTGCAAACAAATCCCCCATTTATACTAACCAATCACCCCTACCCAACTTGTTGCCGCCATTGAATGTGCTAATCAATGTTAAGAGTTGTTGTTTGACTTTCCCGAGGTATGGAATGATTTGCTGTGTTATGTTGTGACACATAGAGTATCCCCCCCAAACCTATAAAATCTCACTGATCAAAGGACCAGGACTCACTCCCCGGGACCGCTGTGTCAGGAATGGTTGTGAGTCCAGGCTCGAGCTTGCAATAAAGACTCTTGTGTGCTTGCATCGGATTCGGTTCCTGGAGGTCTATTGGGGACCCACGAATCTGGCATAATAGGACATGTTCTCTTGACTTGTTGGAGAGGAGTCTAATTTCAACCCAAGGCGACAAATGAGGCATCTCAAGATCTTGGCTTAAGCAAGTCAATAAAATATAAAAGTCCTAAGAACTAGCAATGAATTTGTTCACTTTAATTCAGAGTAGCTTTTCAGTTCCATGTGCGCTGCTCTCAGYTTTCCCAGCGGACAGCCCGTGAGCTGTGCTCCCAGCAGCCACTCACAGGCAGTGGGCAGGCCTCGTGGTCACCCATCAGGCTTCCTCACCTGCAACCCACCCCCCTCTGTTCAGTCTGAACATCTGCAACAATTGGATGTGGCATCTGAGCCACTTGTGATGGATCCTGCTCTTTTTTTTAAGCACGTAAGGAAAGAATAAGACCACAGTGGCCTGAGGGGATGACAGCCGATGGGAACTCACACAGCTGTCAACATCATTTTAGCATTTTTATGCTGGACTCATACCTACAATATACGAAAATAGCAATCCAAAATGAAGTCAGGTTATAATGTGAATTTACAAATATAGTTCTTAAAAAAGTCTCAGATGCCAAAACAAAATCCACTCCAAGGTAAATGTGTTCTTTTCCCTAAGTACAGCAAGTGCTTGCAAAGGCACTAAGTATGGGCATGAGCCCTTTACTTTCCTGTGCTTATTTCATACAGAGTTTTATTTGAGTCGATTCAACTCTGATAAATTCCTGCCTAAATTTCTTAACTTCAGYGGGTTCCTGTTGAATCTGTAATTAAAGTTGTTATTTTAAAAAAGAAGGATCTTTTTTTAATATTTATTTTTAAGTTGTAGTTGGACACAATACCTTTATTTTATTTATCTTTATGTGGTGCTGAGGATAGAACCCAGGGCCTCTCGTGTGCTAGGCAAACATTCTACTGCTGAGCCACAATCCCAGCCCTGGAAGGGAGGCTCTTTACTGTATGAGGGAGTCCAGGCTCCAAGGTCTCGTGGGCCGAGTGCCAGGTTGTCTCTGGGTTTGCACCCTATAACTTTCCTTTGCACCTTTGGGTCAGCCTTGTTTTTTAGTTAATTCCCATCTCCATAGAATGTAGGCTGTAGTTCAAATTAATTAGGGATAGGAACCCAGGGAGGGAATCGTAGAAATCCATTCGTGATGAACTCCAGTGATTCCGTGGCTTCTGGTAGCAAGGCGCTACTCCACAGGCCAGCCGGCTACTCCACAGGCCAGCCGGCAGCAACAGAGTCTTTCTGAGGCCTTCCCTGGGAGGCGGCCACACCTGCCCTCCCTAGACAAGGATTGTCAGCTCACTGGCAACTTCCTTCTCCTTCTTGCTGAGGTCAGTAACAGATACTGACCTCTGAGTCATTGGATTCGAGTCCAGCTTTGCCTCTGGAACAAGTCTCAGGCGTTCCTGGGGCAAAGGAGACAGAAGCAGCTGACTTCCCACCCTTCCTCAAAACTCCCAGGACAGAGTGTCTCCAGTGATCACTGTCCCTCACTCAGGGGTCCTGAGAAAGCACCCAGATCACAGGACCTCACAGAGGAGAGCGAGTCCGCTCTTCCCCGTCCTTCCCAATGCAGCTCACTCTCAAAACTGCCATCTTACTGTATGAGTGAGTCCAGGCTCCAAGGTCTCAACTTGCAAGACTTTTTGCTTGTCTGTTTTAGTATTTTTTTTAGTTGTTGATAGAYCTTTATTTTTATTTATTTCCATGCGGTGCTGAGAATCCATCCCAGTGCCTCACACATGCCAGCCCAGTGTGTTACTGCTGAGCCCAGCCCCAGCCCCTCACTAGAAGTGCCACACTTCTAGCCAGTGCCCAGCAGGAGGATTCCATTTTCTCTTAGTTTTCACAATTACCCTTTCTCCATTCCAATCCCTATCTGTCTGACCAACTTTAGCTTCTTTGCATTACCATTTCTATGATCAACATTTTAGTTTTCAAATAATTCCTCRTGTCTCCTTTCTGGAATTTGAAAATCTTGAGTTCCCAACCCTTCAAGCCGCCGCCTTGGGTGGTACTGACCATGCTGCCTAGAGCCAAACTTTTGCCACCGTTGTGCCGGCACTTCTTACCACAGTGTTGAAAGGTCTYGTGGGCCAAGTGCCAGGTTGTCTCTGGGTTTGCACCTTGGGGTCACCTTGTTTTTTAATTAATTTCCATCTTCAGAGAATGTGGGCTGCAGTAGGTCACAATTCCCTTACAAGTTCTGGGAAGCAAAAAAAAAAAAAATATGCCAAAAATCACAATAGAATCTTACAGTATACTATAGCCCCCGAGTGCTTGCAGAATACAACTGAGTTGAAATAACCACTTCTGCCTCGACAGGACAGAAGTGCTGACCATGGAGGAAGTGGCCTACGTGGAACCCTGCTGTTAAAGTGAATGGGGCTTATTTCAAGACARYAAGTTTCAAAAGCATTGCTAGAGGGGACCCACCGTTGTCCTCCCTGTTCACAGCCTCTGCGGCCCTGTGACCTCCGCTCTTCCCTGATGCTCKCTATGCACTGGGGCTGGTTTGGGTCTTGGAAGTGTGGTCCAGTGCGGTGGGGCTGAGATGGAAGAACCCAGTCCTGGAAGGTGGAGGAGTCATATGCACACGGCTCAAGGAGGGGATGGAATTCTGGTCTCGTAGGATGAGTTACTTCTCAGGGGAGCAAGGTCACCCCGTGCTTGGTCCCTTCTTCATGAGGCAGTTTCTCTTCCTGCTCCTCTCTCATGCTGTGACAGCAGAACCTGAACAGGTGGTGGCCCCCGATTTTGCACTCCCAGACTCTCAAACTGTGGGCTAAATAAATCTCTTTTCTTTACAAAGAAGCCAGTGTCAGGTATTCTATTAGAGCAAACAAACTAATATGACGTTTCATATTTCCCTTTGACTCACAAGCCATGTGCCACTTTTAGTGGAAGTCACTTGTTAGCATAAGATAATTGTTCATTTGAATAAGGCACAAGTCTTTAGTTCTAAGGCTGCACACGTACAGACTCAAGGAAGTTAGATTGGATCAGAGTATAATGAGAGGGTGTGTTAAAAGGAATGTGATAAATACCCAGCCTGTTAATGGGTCTGGTTTTCCACTGTGACTTATCAGTGGGGAGAAGGTGATTCTGACKGCATCACTAGTGCAGCCTCTTGGTCTAATGCAGGGAGGCCACATGCCATTTCCTGAGATCAATATGCTTGTGTACCTGGCTGCTCTTCCTCCCACTGCCCACAAAAATCCCTCCGCTCCTGTGGCTTTGCAGGTCTGACAGGCTCCAGGCCCTGCAGTGGGGTTACGGTTGCTGTTGTTTGTTTGTGGTGCTGGGGATCAAACCAGGGCCTAACCTGTGCTGGGCCAGCACCTACTCCTGGACCACACCCCAGCACCTCAGGGTATACTATTAGAGCAAACAAACTAACAGGATGTTTCATATTCTCCTTTGACTCACAAACCATATTAGCGTCACTTAGCGTCAGTGTCAGCAGGAGCAGCAGATGAGAGGTGGAAAACATCTGAGTCCGGCTGGTGCCGAGTCCCTGTGTCCAAGTGAAGCTGGCCATTCCCTTAGGCTCTCCAATTCCACTCTCTCTGAAGCAGGTTCAAGCTGGGCTTCTGTGTGACCAAAGCATGGTAAACCACCTCCTTAGTGACACCTGTGTCACACAAAGTCCACCTCCACGCAGGAGAGCCACCTTTGACTCAGCCTCCATTCCTAGACCATTTATAGTCTGAGGGCAACAAACACAGAGACCCTGCCTGACGTGGCCCTGGGAGGTGTGGCCTGGGGCTGGAGTGTGGCCAGGGCTAGGTGCTGGCCCTCCGTCCACGGGTCCAGGCCCTGGCTCCTGTCCTCCCCAGCGAGGCCTCCTCTAGGTCATATCTATTCCCCAGCAGGATCTCTCCAGCTTGAGTCTCCACAGCTCTCCATTAGTTTTCTTTTTCTTTTTTTTTTTTTAATTATATAAGTAAGTGGAAAAAACAACAAAATCAGAGTGAAAAATCATCCACACACACAGACGACCAATCATCATGACATTTTATGCCTTGGGTTCAATTGCAGTGAAACAGGGATCTGTCTTTAGCACGTGACTCGCTTTTCCTTGTCTTGCCCTCCTCTCCACGCCCTCCCTCCCCTGGAGGTGGCCAGCCAGCACAGAGGTCCTCTGCCTGCTACAGGAAGCTCAGAGCTGCCACGGGACCCTGGGGAGGCAGCAATGGAATTCAGAGGGATATGAGCAGGCAACCAGCCATGTTCTTATCCCTGGGTGCACACTGAAGAACCCRGGGTAGGGGCTGAAGTCAGGACCCTCCTCATGAGGACAGCAGCAGGCTCCCTGGCGACACCGCCCAAGAGGGCACAGCTGTGAGCGTATCTCCTGTCTAACTCAGAAGCCTCTCTCCAAGAGCTGTGCCCAAGAATGTCATCTTCAAAGGAACAAGACCTCTGTCTCCCAGACCCCCCCGGGGGCAGAGTCCTCTGACAGATGCCAGCGGGCAACACAGGTGGCCTGGTCTCCCTCAGCTCCCCAGCCCTGTGTCCTTTCCACAACTGTGACTCTGAAGTCCGGCTGGTGCGAGTCCCCTCCCAAACCACCCAAATCAGATGGAGTTCAGTTCCTTCCCCCAGCGCTGGGCATGTTTCAATGATGTCCTCRTTTCCATCGGCTGTGGAAGATATTCACAGAACACACTGTCCTGTAAAAGTAACCACAAGGTGTCAAGATGGATGGAACCTTGGATTTAGGACCAGGGAAACCGGGATGACCATCAGGAGCGAGGGATGCCGACCATGAAATCMTAATAGGACTAGGATACTAAAAACCTGAAGGACACCACTGTATCCAATCAAGACTCAAGACATCAYGGACTCACCAATTCTCAACAGCCCCGAAGAACCCTCCTCCCAGCTGACTGCCAGGGGGGACCAGGCCTGTGCGTGTCTCCTTGCAAGGGGGACCTGGCATGGCCCCATCTTCTTGCAGGGGGACCGGGCAGGGCCCCATCTCCTTGATAGTGAAGTTTTGATAAGGCTTTCTTCTTGCAGAAGCCTGGGCAGCCATAGTTTGGGCTTCTACGCATGCTGGGCAGCAAGCCTTGCTCATGTCAGGAATAACGTGAGTCCTGCAGGGACCCAGGCAGTCTTGTGGAGTTGGGGCAGCAGCGGGGAGGGTGTTTCTGCAGGAGCTGGCGGCTCATCACTGAGAAGCAATGCTGTGTCTGCCCTGGCCACCGTGCTCTGCTACCAGGAGTCAAAGGGGGCACATCTGTGAGTCCTACTAGTGGTGAGATCCCAGAGGACACAGGCCCAGCCCTGCCCCAGGGCCTTATGTGGACCCCCTTGGCAGTGCTATTCCAAACTGAGGAACCCACACTGGAGGAGGAGATGCTGAGGAGAAGACGGCCAGTTCCCAGTGTGTTCGTTGGCTTTCCATTGCTTCGACTGAATACCCGAGGTTGTCAACTCTTTTTTTCTATTTAATTTTTTAAACTTATTTTTTTATGTGGTGCTGAGGATCCAAGATTAAGCACTCTGCCAGTGAGCTCCAACCCCAGCCCCTGAYGTTAACAATACTCTTAAATCTCTTCTCAATGGCAACCACAAAATTTGGAGGATTTTTGATGTCATTGTYCATAACATTACTTAGCAATCTAGATATTGATAACAATGACTTTGAATCTAGGGTCCCAGAAAGTCATATGCTTGGTGTATGTCACCAATGTCAGATTTCGGGGTCCCYGATCCTTCAGATTGCATAGTTTAAAGGTGTGGGCTCACCAGTGGCCAGACTGGGCTCTGGTGGCATGGGTGGGGCCAACTCATGAATGTCTGGGCCCCTGTGTCGAAGCTGGCAGAATCAAGGAGCTGGTCTGCTCCGAGGGAAAGCAGGAGCAAGTCACAGTGTAAAGTCAGAGGGAGCTCCCTCCCCAGAAGGAGTCCGTCTGCTGGATGGAATCTGGACTCTTCCCACTGAGAAGACCTTCTCCATCTTGGCGCTGGCTTCTCCCCACTATCACTGCCCAGAGTTGGCCGTGTGAAGACTCTTCTGGGCCCGACATCAGCATCTGCTCGAGCACAGCATCTGTGGTTCAGCGTCTCACACTTCAGGCCTCAGAGAGACGTTTCACCCAGGGAGTTAGTTCAGGAACAAYGGGGCTCCTCCTCCGCATCCTGAAGCTTGTTCAGTTCAGGTAATGACATCTGGGTGCTGCTGAATTTCCATCTTCTCTCCTGTTGGTCAAGAAGCTCAGGACAAAATCGGTCCCTCCATCTGAGCTCTGACACCAGTCCTCAGAGTGGACGTGGTATTCACTGAATGCTTCTAATTTCCTCTTACTAGTTCGCTGGCCTTATCATTAGCCCTTTTTGTAGATCATTCCAAATCTTTTTTTGGAACGAGGGCCAAGTGTAAAGGGTATTTGGTTCGCTGTTAATGGAGCAAAGGAGGCCTAACTCTGGGGTATCTATGAGGCGGCCAGGGCCGGCCCACGGCCAGGCRAGGCCCACGGCCAGGYRAGGCCCACGGCCAGGYRAGGCCCACGGCCAGGCRATGGGCAGCACCACTAGAATCTTCCCCAGAGATTGCCACCCACCTGGATAAACAAAGTCGCCCACAGCTCTGTGACAGATGTCCCCTTCAAGGAGTGTGCTGCCCCTCAGCCCCCAGGATTGATTGGTTCACATAAAGCAAACCTCTGATTGTCAGATCTTTGCATTTTTTCAAGCAAACCTAAAAATTTATATTTTAGAGGAAATCCTGGTCTTTAAAGTGTTGGCCATAAATTCATATTTTTAAAAACATTTGGACCAGCATAAAAGAGAACAGTGGCTGCTGGGTGGGGTGAGGGGAAACGGGAGTGACTGTTCAGTGGGAACAGAGCTCAGTCACACAAGGTAAGGTCACCTGCCTGGAGTGAGCAGTGGGGGTCGGCCACTAGGACTTTGTTCAGAGGGCAGATCGGCTCAGGTGTTCATGTTACAACAACAAAAAGCAAAGGAACCCGAGGCCACTCTGGAGGGGGCGGGTGGCAGGTGTGAGCACTTGGCCAGACTCCTCCAGCTGCACAGGGTCAGGGTRAGCAGTTCCTGGTACATCAATCGTGCCTCAGTGAAGCTGTTYAAAAAATAACCAGCCACTCTGGACCAAGCCAACACCTGAGGTCCAGACCTGGGCCTTTGGGATTGGAGACACCTGGGATTAGAAATCAGGAACCAGTAACCAGGGAGACAAGGCAGGAACTTTGCCACCAGGGCATTGATGTCATAATGACACCAAGGGCAGGGGAACGYGAGACTCTTGAGAAAACCCAAGTTTTGAGCTCTGTCTCAGATCTTTAAGGATGGATTAGTAAAGGGAGCCCTGGCCTGAAACCTGGGGACAGCCTCAGCTGCAGGCAGCTCCTCGGCACTCCCAGCATAAGACGTGTGGCCAGCCAAGGCACCCGTCTCTTCCAAACTCTTTATTTCCAAAAGTCTTTTATCAGAATCCCCAAAGGTAGGTGAGCCCACAAGAAAAGCCCTTTCCACTCATCTTTTAGTCGTATTCTCCTACRAAGGAGTTACCTAAGTTCCCAATGTTGCTGCAAAAAATGAGCAGAATTTTCAAAGGCAAATGGAAAAAGAAAACTGAGATTGAAAATGAGGGGGCACTGGGGCTCTCGATGTCCACCCACGGAATCTCTGTCTTCAGCTCTCCCCTCAGCAAGAAGCTCACCACGGGCTTCAAAGCCTTGAGCTGTGGAAAGGGTGACACTCCTGACACAGCAGTGCCATTCACACATA